GCCCCTCTCTCCCACCCACCACCTGGGCCCGACCCCCCTCTCTCTCTCTCCCACCCACCACCTGGGCCCGCCCCTCTCTCTCTCTCCCACCCACCACCTGGGCCCGCCCCCTCTCTCCCCCACCTGGGCCCGCCCTCTCTCCTCCCCACCACCTCCTGGTCCCGCCCCTCTCTCTCTCTCCCACCCACCACCTGGGCCCGCCCCTCTCTCTCTCTCCCACCCACCACCTGGGCCCGCCCCTCTCTCTCTCCCACCCACCACCTGGGCCCGCCCCTCTCTCTCTCCCACCCACTACCTGGGCCCGCCCGTCTCTCTCCCACCCACCACCTGGGCCCGCCCCTCTCTCTCTCCCACCCACCACCTGGGCCCGCCCCTCTCTCTCTCTCCCACCCACCACCTGGGCCCGCCCCTCTCTCTCTCTCCCACCCACCACCTGGGCCCGCCCCTCTCTCTCTCTCCCACCCACCACCTGGGCCCGCCCTCCTGCCTCTCCTCCCACGGTGAGTGACTAGCCAACACCCACACATCGTGTCAGCAAGGCGGACAGTCCGCCTGCTTTCATAACTCTCACTGTATTTCCCACTTCCAAACTTTCCTTCACCAATGCCTCTGCATCCTCTTTACTCCCCCCTCAAAAAAAAAAAGACTAGCCTTCATAGGTAAAAATGGGAGGATTAGAAAAAGATGGGAGGGGGGTATACCCCCTCCTGTCTCACCCATGCTGGGTGAAGACACTTCCCAAGCCACACCCTGGGTAGGAATGGGGGAGGGTGAAGGGAAAGGGGGGAGGACAGACAGAAAGGCACAAGGGTATGGCGTCCTGACTTCCAAACATCTTGAACTTTAGCTGCCCAGAAAAAAAGTGTGGAGTCGGCCACCACCTCACACTGGCGCGGGGAGACCCAAATCCCTATTATCTCCTTAATTCATTTGAGGGTCCTGTAAGTGCACCTGTGTCGCCTCGTTGTTCCCACGCGTGCCAGCCACGTGAGACCTGATCACAACGTGTACGGTCCTCAAGAGACATTGAGTGAACAGCCCTCTTCACTTAGCGGTTCTGCGTACCTCATGCGTGGTGATCAGGTCTCCTCTATAGTACTTCTCTTGATCAACACTGTGATAATCGTATCTATCAGCCTCTTGAGCGCTATTCTACGCTCTTTATATAATGACCATCTTCCTAAAAGCTGTCCTCATTTGTAGCTTATTTTATGTCTTATAATCCTTATTAACCTGTAGGTTAGGTGCTTCTGGAGATAGATTTGGTCCATCGCAAGATTCTCTGACTTTCTCATTCTGGGTTGCTATTATTTCTGGGCGAAGTGTTCCCTGGGGCGGCTCCTTCCTCATTACCTTGTGTAATGCCACTGAATTCCTGTACGAACTTGATGCTCATATTTTCTATTTCATATTTCACACATATACGCACACAGAGTACCAACCCGGGTTCGATTCCAGGCCGACGCAGAAACAAATGGGGTCTCATTCATCTGTTGCTTTTCACCTAGCAGTAAAGTACTTGAGAGTTAGACAGCTGATACGGGCTGCCTCCTGGGGATGTGTGTGTGTTAAGAGAGAAATATCTGTAGTAGATATAATAAGAGACAAAAATAGGTCGTAAGTCAGTACGTTAGAAAACGGTTAGAAAGGGAGGGGGGGGGGTCCAAGAGCTAAAAGCTCGATTCAGCAGACACAAATAGTAAACCCGTACACCGTAACTAGGGAGTCATTACCACCGTTACTAAGGCATCAAAAGCACAGTAACTACTGGGGGCTGTTAACAACGGAATCACACCAAATATAACGCAGCTGACAACGGGAGTAATCGCAGGTGTACCAACGCACAAAGTCTTGCCACCCCCTGGGAGGGATCCTACGGGAGGGATCCTTCGGGAGGGCTCCTACGGGAGGATCCTACGGGAGGGCTCCTACGGAAGGGCTTCAATACTTCTCCATTAACGGGCACAGAAAGCTTCCTCCACTCCTTGAGGTTCCACTAGTCAAGACCCCTGACTCTCAGCCCGATCACCAAACCGGTCGCTAGCCAGACCCAACGGTGTGTAACCTCGTAACCGAGCGCTGTGTACACCGTGCCTCTGTGCGACGGAGCCCCGTGGCACAGAGCACAACAGGATGAACAACCCAGCGGGTTTTCTTCCTATTGGGGAGTGTTGTACATGCTGCTATGGCGGTGTGTCCACTCATAAGATGAGTGGCGCTGCCCAATAAACTCGGCCCTCGGGGCAAAATTTAAAAATTTAATAGGGGATAATTCCCAAACCTTCCAGTAAATTTACAGTTATGGAACACACACCTTGGAACAACAAAGGAAATATTGGTAACAAAGAATAGTGGACAAAGAAACAAAGACAACTACTTGATTGTCTTCGGATGATGAAATTTTTTTATTTGCTTAGCTAAACGAACTAGAGGGTTCAGTTCCTGAACCGATTATGTGCCTCTGTAACCCTTTACACCACCGCCCACGGGATGGGTATGGGGTGCATAATAAAGAAAGAAATTGAATTGAAAGCAGAAACGAGGCGCTGTGAAACAGAAGGGAAGAGGCACAGGAGGAAGGTAGCCACCACCAACACTGCCAGACCAACACTGGTGCAGCCATCACCAACACTGGTGCAGCCATCACCAACACTGGTGCAGCCATCACCAACACTGGTGCAGCCATCACCAACACTGCCACACCAACACTGGTGCAGCCATCACCAACACTGGTTCAGCCATCACTAACACTGGTGCAGCCATCACCAACACTGGTGCAGCCATCACCAACACTGGTGCAGCCATCACCAACACTGCCACACCAACACTGGTGCAGCCATCACCAACACTGGTGCAGCCATCACTAACACTGGTGCAGCCATCACCAACACTGGTGCAGCCATCACCAACACTGGTGCAGCCATCACCAACACTGGTGCAGCCATCACCAACACTGCCAGACCAACACTGGTGCAGCCATCACCAACACTGGTGCAGCCATCACTAACACTGGTGCAGCCATCACCAACACTGGTGCAGCCATCACCAACACTGGTGCAGCCATCACCAACACTGGTGCAGCCATCACCAACACTGGTGCAGCCATCACCAACACTGGTGCAGCCATCACCAACACTGCCACACCAACACTGGTGCAGCCATCACCAACACTGGTGCAGCCATCACCAACACTGGTGCAGCCATCACCAACACTGGTGCAGTCCATCACCAACACGGTGCAGTCATCACCAACACTGGTGCAGTCATCACCAACACTGCCAGCACTAGTATATAGAGAGAGAGAGAGAGAGAGAGAGAGAGAGAGAGAGAGAGAGAGAGAGAGAGAGAGAGAGAGAGAGAGAGAGAGAGAGAGAGAGAGAGAGAGAGAGAGGTAGATCTGTCTCCCCCACCCCCCCCCCCCCCCGGCCACCACCTGACGAAACATTCCCTTCAGATAAGACAATCAACCATTCAGGAAATCCACCAACTCACTCGCGACAAATACGCTATTTTTCATCTTAAATCACACACACAAAAATATAAATGTATATATATATATATATATATATATATATCGTGATATCAGCTCAAAACCACTCCACCTCCCAGGAATACATATATATATATATTCATTTAGCAATGAATTTATCTGAAAATTTCTCTCTCTCTCGTTCTCTCTCTTTATTCCATATCATTCTCTGTTTATCTCCCTCTCTTTCTCCTTCCTTCGCTACCTCCATCCTCTCTGTCATTCCACTTTGACTAGACGGTAGAGCGACGGTCTCGCTTCATGCAGGTCGGCGTTCAATCCCCCGACCGTCCAAGTGCTTGGGCGCCATTCCTTCCCCCCACCCCCCTCTGTCCCATCCCAAATTCGATTTATTCCTCCGTCTCTCTCTCTCTCTCTCTCTCTCTCTCTCTCTCTCTCTCTCTCTCTCTCTCTCTCTCTCTCTCTCTCTCTCTCTCTCTCTCTCTTTCTCTCTCTCTTTCTCTCTGTAACATGTATAATGAACCAAGTGTGGACACAGGTGTAAGGTTCACAGGTGTTTGTAACATTTCAGGTGTGCATACACACATTTGCTAACACCTGTTCAGTCTGATCCCCCCCCCCCTCCCGCACAGCTGCGTTAACTTACTGCTCATAAATTACTTCTCCTGCCGACACACACACCTGTGTTCCTCTGATACCAACGTCATTTGGGGCACCTCCGTTATTTGGGCCATCTCCGTTATTTGGGGCCACCTCCGTTATTACGAGACCTCCGTTATTTGGGGCCACCTCCGTTATCAGGAGACCTCCGTTATTACGACACCTAAAGTTGATATTACGCCTCCGATGAAACGACACCCAATCAAAACTCCATTGAAAGGGGCTGGCCGAATACGACTCCCGTTAATTTTAACCCCAGGCCAAACGACGCTCGGTGAAAACACTTTCTCTATAACCCACTGGGAATAAAAATAAGAGGTATTTACCGACAGCCAAAAATAAAAGCAGAGGACACGAATGATGAACAATGGTAGACAGTAAAGTAAAGACGTGTACACGAGCAGGAAAAATACATCAGCGTAGGAACAAATACTGATGAAAATAGCGGCAAGTAAAAAAAAAAAAACTAAGAAACAATTACTAAAAAGGGCAATAAAATCCTAAAAAAAATAAGAAAACGGGGATAATAAACAAAACTGATAACAAAACACTCCCCAAAATGAAGCCTCAAGCTGAATTCATGTACTACCAAAACCACTGAGAAAAAATCAACTGTACACGAAGAATTAACCAAAAAATCTGGCAAATGGTACAGTGAGAGAGAAGGCGGGAGCCATTGGCTTCCCGGAGGTGCCCATTGGCCGACACAGATATATATTTTCGGGGAGGGGGAAGGGGGAGGGGAGGGTAGAATATTGGCGACGCGGCTCGGCTGGTAATGAAGGGGATTAAATTCGCGTCATGATCGGCTAGGATTCGCCAAATCTACTTTAATCGCCTGTAAGCCTACCTTTGCTCCGGGTGCTGCGAGAGTCCTGATTGGCTAGCCCCTGGACCAATGAGGGCGGTCGGGAGTCGCTTGCCGCCTCCTGATTGGCCAATTCGTCTTTCCCGCCTTCCCGCTCTTGTTTGATGCTCTTGGGCTCCATTCCTGAAACAAAAGACGAACCCTCGCATTTATTTACGCTTTGCATTTAACAAAGATAATAATATTTATAAAAAATGCTACGTATGGTCTGATTACAATGTTTACACAATAGGTACCGATGTTTTTTATAAACCATCTAATTGACGTTTGTGTGTTCATATACACACTAATGCAAACTGAATATCAATATCTTTTAAAAGTGAATGTCTCTCTGCCTGTAGGCTAGACGCATGGGGCTAGCCTCATCAAATTTTGCAAGACTGATGATAATTGCATCAAGTGTTATTGAAAGGTTGGGGTCAGCCCAGTGCCTCCCCCCCCCCCTTAAACTGAGGGGAGAGCCCCAAGGACCCCTTTCCCTTTATGAAGTCTGTGGCTGTGAAATATTCAGCCAGTCAATAGACTTTAGCATTACTTTAAAGAATAGTGAATTAAGATATTTTCAAAACATATATGTTTAGATGAGAGATTTGAATTTTAGGTGTAACCTTTTGGTTAAGGGTGATAGTGAAAGGGAGTGTATGGGCAAGGAGGGAGGAAGCGGGTAGTGTATATGGGAGGACATTAGGGGGAGGGATATGGGGAGTGTGGTGGGGAATGTTGAGTGTGAAAATGTTTATACTGAGACAGTGTGTATTGAAGTTTGTTATATTGATGTGGGGAGATGGGGAGTGTATGTGTGGAGAGACAGGGAGGGTGTATGTAGGTGTGTAGTATGTTCTCTTAAGAGAAAACTATCAACATCAAAGGCCCAAGACTTTTCAACACTCTCACTATACATAAGTAACATAACTGCCCGGCCTCTCCCGGTGCTTATGAGAGAACTTGATCAAGTTCTCTCTTGAACTTGAACAATAAACACCTCCAAAAGATACCTGATCAACCACGCTGTAATTCATACGACAGACGCGTCCAAAATCCTGGTTGACCAGAACGCCAACCAGGAGACCCCAGGCCAGATACACAAAAGCACTTACGCAAGCACTTACGAACGTGTACATCTTTCCTCAATCTTTGATGGCTTTGGTTACATTTATTAAACACTTTACAAGGATGAAAACATCCTATTCAACTGTTGTTATTGTTATAAACAGCCTCCTGGTGCTTCGGAGCTCATTAACTGTTTAATAATTGTAAACAAAGCCGTCAAAGATTGAGAAAAGATGTACAGGTTCATAAGTGCTTGCGTAAGTGCTTTCGTGAATCTGGCCCCTGATCAGAGACTGGGGCGTTGACCCCCGACAACACCACAAGGTAAACGCAAGGTAAGGTCAGATGCTTGGGGCAAGCTTCACCCAACTTTTTCAAGATGACACATGGGTAATATGTCATAGGCTGGTCAGGGTCGGCCACAGTGCCTCCCTTTAGGAAATAACGGCCCTTATAGCTACCTCCTGCATTGGTTAAGAAGTCTGAAATCGGAGATTTGTTTACATAGTTTTTTTAGCACGTTCTCCCATCTTAGGGAAGGAGAGAACGGGAGAAATGTGGAGAGAAAAGTTGGAGAGGTGATAGAGAGGGGAAGCAAGACTCGGGCACTGCAGGGTACCCCATCTAATGTAAAGTATATATATATATATATATATATATATATATATATATATGCGCATATATATATATATATATATATATATATATATATATATATATATATATATATATATATATATATATATATATATGCGCGAACAAGCCTAAATGGTCCCCAGGACTATATGCAACTGAAAACTCACACCCCAGAAGTGAGTTTTCAGTTGCATATAGTCTCTGAGTGTCTGAGGCAATTGGGACAAAATTGTAGTGGTGATCAAGATCTATGTATTTTCGAGACTTGGCTGCTTCCCGGTGATTGGCAGCACCTCCTGCATGTGCAACACTGAAGTCAACATAGGTGTTGGCTAAAGTTGAAACGCAAGTGTAGTCCCACGCCAACTGTCTACCATTCTTCCAGGGGTTCACCGTGATCCCGTCTGGGCGACCGACAGGCTCATCAGAGTTGCGGGGCATTAGGTAACGAGATTCTCTCTCTGCTGGACAACCGGCTGTGGTAAGGCTTCTCTTAATAATGTCGTTAACCTCGCCGTGTCTTGCATGCCATCCTCCTGTCCTTTCGCAGAGAAGGCCATGCCGTCCGTACCTGTCGGCCTCTGCCTCGCCGCAAAAACAACTGTATTCGGTGTGGATTGGGGCAGCGAGGCGGAGACCCACAGCAATTCAGAGGGCCTGCGGTGTGAGACGAGTGCCAGTTGCTGACGTTGGGGTTGCTAATAAGAAGTCCCCTGCATGGGGAGCTGCTACAGCTCTAAGTCTGGCAGTGTCTTGTGGTGTTGCCGAAGCTTCAAGGCATGTGGCAGCTGTATATAATATATATATATATATATATATATATATATATATATATATATATATATATATATATATATATATATATATATATATATATATATATATATATATATATATATATATATATATATACATACATACACGCACACACACACACACTCTGCCACGGCCCCTCATAACAACAAATACCACCACACAATAACTACCATACCTCGGCCATTTTCCTGTTTATTCCCAGCCACAATAACAAGATAGCGGCGTTTTAATCGCCACATTTGAAACTAAGCGTTGAGCCTAAATGTACGGCTTTGAGGCTGCCCACGCAAATTATCGTACGCCCGTTAGGGTACAGTTGTTGAGGGGGGGGGGAGGTTGTTGGGGTGTGTGTGTGTGTTCATGGATGTAGAGGTGGGTGAGTGAGTGAGTAGGTAAGTGTTCATGGATGTAGGTGGGTGACCTACCGGTAATACCGGCGGCATCTCAATATCTCAAACAACAGTGAAAATAAACAGCACCAGTGAGAAAACAGCAACAACAGGAGACAGTAAGAGGATCAGCCGTAACCAGAGCAGGAAAAGCAGCAACAGAGGGGGACAGGAACAAATCAGTGGAGCGATGAAAGTGCGGGCACCCTCACCCCACCTCTCACACCCAACTTCCCCACTACACGCATTTCCCGCCTCCACCAACCGCCCCTCTCTCTCTCTCTTTTCAAATTTCTTCCTCTCTCGTTTACCGCCTAATTCCTTTTTGTCCTTTTCCGCGACGTTATCATTCTGCTTCACAAATCTATCCAGAAGGAAACTCGATGACGCAGTGAATTATGTGAACACAATCTGCGGATGATTAGTGGCAATAGAAAAGAAATACTGTACTATGAAATCACTGTACTATTTGGATATGGCTAGTAACTGGATGGCTGACCATGGCTAGCCTCTCTATTGGCTAGGAAAACTATTGTCGGAAGCTTCTTGCTTCCGACAATAGTCTTCAAAACCATACCAGACCAGAAGAAATAAGCCGCATTTCTTATATACAGTATATAAGCCTAATACCCATGCAGGAAATCTGACGCAAAAAAAAAAAAAAAAAATATATATATATATATATATATATATATATATATATATATATATATATATATATATATATATATTATATATATATTATATATATATATATATATATATATATATATATATATATATAATATATATATCCTGTGTATATATCAACTAGATATATATATATATATATATATATATATATATATATATATATATATATATATATATATATATATATATTTATCAACTATCCTGTGTGTGTGTGTGCTTCGCTCAACTGACATACATAAGGAACACAATAAATTGACAGATTCTCATATAATTAATGCGCTTTACTATGTATGCAGTGATATAAGATTCAAATACATACAATTAAAATAAAGTATAAAATAAATAACAAATGTAAACAAGGACTGATGCCGGTATCAGGAAACTAACCACACCAACTCCATGTAAACAAAAGCCGTATGGAAGGATTCTATGCAGGTAGAAGCTTAAGTCAATTGACCAATTCATGGTTTTCGAATGACTAAACAGCTTACGATAACCTATGTCCAAAAAGACACAATGCCCATAAACAACAATTTTTTTTTTTTTTTAATGAATTAGTCCGACTGTAGACTCTAGCCCGAAACAACGTGTCAGCTCACGTTCAAGGACCAGACGTAATGACCTCGTCCCTGATGTTAGTCTCCTTAGTCGGACAAATACGGCTTTCTTTTTTTTGGGGAGAGGGGGGGGGGGGTTCCTGTTGTTACTGTCTTGGTCCCTGCTGTTACTGTCCTTGTTTCTGGCATTGTTCCTGCTGTTGCTATCATTCTTCCTTCTGTTACTGTCATTGTTCCTGCTGTTACTGCCCTTGTTACTGTCATTGTTCCTGCTGTTACTGTCATTGTTCCTGTTGTTACTGTCCGTGATTGGGCATGAGTGGAAGCCTCAGGACACCTAGAGGATTCAGTTGAATCCCAAGTTGTCTTGCTTTAGAGCATGTCGTGGCAGAGTTGTTAAGGGCACATGCTTAGGAGTACCATGTGTCCAGGTTCGAATCCTCATCATCCCTTCTACTGACTTTCTCACTGATACATCACGTTAATGTGATTTCTTTGTGCACTGTCGTTTTTTTTCCTCCTGTTACTGTCCTTGTTCATCATGTTACTGTTCCTTCTCCTGTTTTTATAGAAATTATTTCTCTTGCTAAAACTCATTTATTTTTGTGGGGCAAAATCCACTGCTTCTAGGACTAGATTCCTTTTCCAATTCCAGTACGGAACCTCAAACAAGCACTGCTTCTGCTGTTCCACTCATCGCTTATTTAATATTCTCTCTCTCTCTCTCTCTCTCTTTTCCTTCCCTCCCCCCCCCCTCTCTCTCTCTCTCTCTCTGTCTGTCTGTCTCTCTGTCTCTCTCTCTCTCTCTCTCTCTCCCTCTCTGGGGACAATACTGCTGGTGGTCCAACAATCCGACGCTCGACAATTCGCAGAAAACAGATTACGAGGAGGAGGCGCAGGGCACCCGCATGGTGTGTCCTGGCGCCTTCACGAAAATCACAATCACTATCTTAACCACCATCACTGCCATCACCACCACTAC